TGACACAATGTATTGAAGTACCCTGGGCATCTTTCCCAGGGGGGCACTCGTTCTCTAATTTGCTGAGCCTCAGCAAGCCTGATTGTTTTGCTCGTATCTAATCTGCTTTGTGTGTGCTGGTCCTTGTAGGCATTTGAGTCCTAAACCCAAGACTAAATAAATACATACACCCAGGACTGATACCATAGATTGTGTGGCTTAAACAACTAACATTTATTTTCTCAGTTCAGGATGCAGGAAGGCCAAGATCAGGAAGCCACAGGGTTGGTTTCTGGTGATGGCCCTCTTTCTGGCTTGCTGCCTTCTCACAGTGCCCTCACCTGGTAGAGAGGGTAGAGAGAGGAGAGAGAGGAGACAGAGGAGAGGGGAGAAAGGGGAGAGAAAGAAGAGAGGGGAGAAAGGGACAATTATTTTTAAATGCCAATCTTCTCTACTAAACCTCTGAGCTTTTTGAGGGAAAGGCCTATCTCCTACTTGCCTTTGTTTTCCTGGAAACTACCAGAGTGGTTACAGAACAGGCTCTCAAATGTTTGCCAAATGAACAACAGCAAATGCTGATGACAAGCTAAATGACATACAGGTTTGGGGAGCTCAAGTCTGGTTCCAATTTTTTGCACCACAAATCTGGGACCACTTAAAGATGGTCACCATTTTGGGGCAGTCTGGTGGTTCCTGACTATTTCTTGTCCAGATCATTATAAAATAACTTTAATGATATCCTGAATCACCAGTCTCTTTTCTCTCTAACTCATATTAACTTCAGAGTAATTTTTATTTAATTTATTTTTAAAATATATCTTTATTGATTTCAGAGAGAGGAGAGGGAGGGAGAGAGATAGAAACATCAATGATGAGAGAGTTATTGATCAGCTGCCTCCTGCACGCCCCCGACTGGGGATTGAGCCCGCAACCCGGGCATGTGCCCTGACCGGGAATCGAACCCCGACTGCCTGGATCCTAGGTTGATGCTCAACCGCTGAGCCACTCCCGGCTGGGCCAGAGTAATTTTTACAAAACATCACCTTCATCTTGTCATTCCCTTGGGCAAAAAGCATTATGATTCCCTAGGACCTTCCAAATCTTTAATCTTTACACCTGAGGCTTCCAAAGCAAATCTAATGTTCACATGAGGCCCCCAAGGGTACCACCTCACTTTAGTATTCTAATCTCTCAAACATTTATAATGTAAACTATACTAGGTAGGGCTGGAACCTTTATCTGTCTAATCTCTGTTTTATCTCAAGCAACAAGAACAACGTGTGGCCTAGGAGAGATGCTCAATAATTGTGGAATTAGTGAATAAATTATTTATTAGTGAATAAAAGAACACAAAATATAAAGCAGCTTCCTTTCTAAGGAATTATTTTGAGAGGAAAACTATTACCTTATACTCAGGTATATAAGATATTTATTCAGTTAATAAATACTTAATAAGCACCTTTTGTGCCAGGGACTCTATTAGGGAGCAGAAATACAGTGAGCTTAGAATCTGAACAGTCATTAAATGTATAATGCAACAGTTAATTACGATTATTTCAAGTACTATGAGGGATAAGTACAGCTAGCTACAAGATGAGTAACAGGGGAACCTAACTCTGTGGGCTTAAGAAAGAGTTTGCTGTAACAGTGCTGTTTATATACAAGCAGCAGTAGTTCATGTGCCCAGTCTGTCTGGGTTCAGCTGCTGACTCAGAGCCTGATTAGGTTACGTAACTTCACTTTCCTCACTTATAAAGTGAAGCTAACTAACTCACGAAGTTAAGTGAGGATTAAAGGACTTAATACATGTAAAGCACTAAGAACAATGATGGTAAATAGTAACTGCTCAATAAAAGTTATTAGTTATTATTACCATCATTTCAGCTGGAACCTGAAAGACAAGCTAGAAGGGAAGTAGGGGGGAAGAAACACCAAGCAAAAAGCAACAAGTGCAAAAGCCCAGGGGTATAAAGTTGCTTGGCTTTTGGTAGAACTGAAAGGCCAATATTTCTTAGTGTAGAAAGCTAAGGAGAAAGAAATACCATGAGATATGAGATGAGGCTGGGAAGGTAGGCCAGGTTAAGGAGTCTGAACTTTACCTTCGGAGTCAGAGGAAACTTGAAAGTTTTTTTTGTTTTGTTTTTATCCCCACCGAGGATATGTTTTTTTCATTGATTCAAGAGAGAGAGAGAGAGAGAGAAACACTGATGTGAGAAACATCGATCGGTTGCCTCCTGTACATGCCCCGACCACCAGGGATTGAACCCCCAACCTGAATGTGCCCTGACCTGGAATTGAACCCATGACCCTTCTTGCCTGAAGACAGAGTATTTTGTTGTTGTTTTTTAATCCTGAGCCACCCCAGCCAGGGCAAAACTTGAAAGGTTTTATAAAGGGGAGTGACAAGCCTAGACTTGCAATTTTTTTTTTTTTCTGTTAATCCTCACCCAATATTTTTTTCCATTGATTTTTAGAAAAAGTGGAAGAGAGGGAGAGAGGGGGAAAGAGAAAAAAAAACACATCCATGTGAGACACATTGATTGGTTGCCTCTGGCACATGCCCCCACTGGGGGCTGAGATCAAATCTGTAACCCAGGTACCTGGCCTTGACAGGAAATTTAACCCTGGGACCCTTGAGACCCTTTGGTGCACAGGCCGATGCTCTAACCACTTAGCCACACTGGCCAGGGCAACTTGCAATTTTTTAAAATTTTTATTTTTTTCCATCAACTTTCAATTTTATTATTTTTTTCTTTCTTTTAAAAATATCTCTATTGACTTCAGAGTGAGGAAGGGAGAGGGGGAGAGAGAGATAGAAACATCAATGAGAGAGTTATCATTGATCAGCTGCCTCCTGCACGCCCCTGACTGGGGATCGAGCCCGCAACCTGGGCATATACCCTGACAGGGAATCGAACTACGAGCTCCTGGATCCTAGGTCGATGCTCAACTTTCAATTTTAAAAGCTTTCTCTGGCTGCATCATGGAGAAGTGGTTGGAGGGAAGCCAAAATGATGACAGGAAACCAGTAAGGAAGCTATTCCAGTAATCTAGATCAGTGGCACAGAAGAGAGAAGGAAACTGGATGACTGAAGAAATAGAAGACAGAACCAACAAGACTTAGTATGTGTATATTGGGGTGAGGTGTACTAAACAATAAACAAATATTTGAGGAAAGAATGAATTCCTGTGTTCCTGCCATATTGTTTTACTGCATGAAATGTCTTTCCTCTACTGCATTCTTCCAGGCACAGGTCCTTCCCATTTCCTCCACAAAACTCATTGATCTTGTCCCCCCTTCTTTCCAGGAGTGTTCTAGAATTTTAGAGCTGAACAGTCTTGAGAGTTACATAGTAGTTGAGAAGACTTAGAAATTGCCTGAAGGCAGAGATCTTTTTTTTTTTTTTAATCCTCACCCGAGGACACCTTCTCCTTGGATTTCTAAAGAGGGGAGTGTGTGTGTGTGTAGGGGGAAGACAGAGAGACACACATCCATTGGTTGCCTCCTGCAACCAAGGTCTGTGCCCTTGACCAGAAATCGAACCCACAGTCCATGGGCCGACGCTCTAAACACTGAGCCAAACTGGCCAGGGCCAGAGATAATTTTTTAGTCAACTTTGTATCCCAACTGCCCCATCTACCCAATACTTGTCGAGAGCCACCCACTTATACAACTTTACCTCTGACTGCATGAGTGCTACAATAATAAACGGCCTATGCTAATAGAAAGCTCCGTGATCCATAAAACTTCATACAGCTGTGGGAGTTTCACAACCATTTTCATCTTGGGTCTTCACAGAACTCTTATAAAATAGGTACTATTATAAAGGGAATAAGCTCAAAGCTAGAGTGACATGTCCAAGGTCATATATACATTAAAGGAAATGACAGAGCTACGATTTTATTTGGATCAAGATCTCCTGGTTCCAAATGGAATGCTCTCCCTATTATCCTTCACGGAGAGTAAATACAGCGTGAGGCAAAAGCAGGTTTACAGGTGTGAGTACTGAGACACAGTTTACTCTTGTATTATGATTTATTGTATTATTTTACATAGCAACAACTGTAAACCTACTTTTGCCCCACCCTGTATTCATATGTACTTGATCAAGAAGGCTTAACTCTTGGAGGCAGCTTAAGTGCCACTTCTGAGAATCCTTCCCACTTTCAGTCATTAATTGTTTAAAAATGTTTGCCGGGCACCTAGTCCGGGGCAAGAATGGCACCTAGTGTTAGGGGTGTAGCATAGCAGTGAACAAGACAAGATGCTTGCCCTCAGCCTAGTTCAGGGAGCCTGCCAAACAAGGGAGCAAATGTATAGACGATGTAAGTGGTAAGTGCTATAAAGAATATACACAGGATGATAGGAGAAAACGTGCGTCCTTTGGTCAGAGAAAAACTCTGGGGAGGGAAAAGACATTTAAGTTGAGAACCGAGCTTGGTCTGCAGGAAGCGCTTAACGAAAGACCTCTTCCCATAAACGCAATTTGGGAAACTCCGACAAAAGGAAAAAAGCGGACTTAGTTCGCACAGGGGCCGCTCCCAGGATCCCGAACTTGGTCACCGGACGTTAACTGGCAATGGACAGTTCCCGGTCCAGTCAAGCGGCCACCACTAGAGGGCGCCGCGGGCTATCCCAGCACCCAGGAGGCGCCGTGCGCCCAAGCACCGCCAAGTTGACATCTGGCACCTACCGTGTTAAGTCCCCGAAGCAGGAGGTAGGGACAAAGGGCAACGGCGGCCCTAGGGAATCGAGAGGGGTCACCCAAAGAGAGGACGTCCTCAAGAACACAAATCCTGCCACTGGCAGAAGCACTCGCTCCTTCGGGGATAGCCTGCTTCCGGCGCCTTTAAACCAGGAAGTAATGGAGGCGTCCAATCCTAACCCTTTTTCCGTACTGAGGTCTTTAGTTTCCGTTCGGTGCCGGGTGTGCGCAAGGCAAGCGGTCCATGGTTACCAATCAGCTCCCAGAAAAGGCGCATGCGTCGTCAAACAAACACGGCGTACGGTGAACCTTGACCTGAAGAAGACCTCTTCTCCCCCTCCCTCGCTGAGAAGATGGCGCTCTCCAGGGTGTGCTGGGCTCGAACTGCTCTGTGGGGTTCGGTGGTCACCCCTGGACCTTATGTCACTCGGAGGCTGCAGCTTGTTCGCTCTGGACTGGCCTGGAGGGCCCCTCGGTGAGGGACCTGGAGAAAGAAAAGCATTTTTGATGTACAGGCCCTTCCAGTGTCTTAATTCTTGCTTGCATGCTGTCTCTTGGTTGTCAGGTTTCCATGCCCTGGCCTCGGGGTTTTTATTCTTTTGCTCAGAAATTGCACTCCGATCCCCGCTAGTGACCTGGCTTCTTGACCCTCTGAACTCTGAGGGACCCATATAGTCTGAATTCCAGGCCTATCCTGAATTCTTCTTTCAGCCTCCCTTTTCTGGCGCAGGTTTATCGGTATTGCTTCGATCCCACCTCTGGCCTTATCCTGCCGCTCTGGCCTCAGGCCTTGCGCTCTCTCCAGACTCCTGCCACTCCTCGACATCCCTTCCTGCCTAGCCTGTCATCTGCCTGATTTGTTTTTTCTCAGTGTGATTGCTTCTCTCCTCTTGACCCCAAGATCTTCCTTGTATTTCGGAGGGTTCAGGTCTTAGCATCCATTCTCGGAGACCCGTGTTTTACAGTAGAAACGCCAAGTGTGAGAGGGCTTTTTGGACTGATTCCCAGATAGTCTCTTTGATCCTCCTTGTAGGTCTTCAAAGCTTCACCTTTCTCCAAAAGCAGATGTGAAGAGCGTAATCTCTTATGTGGTGACTAAGACAAAAGCGATTAATGGGAAATACCATCGTTTTTTGGATCGTCATTTCCCCCGCTTCTATGTCCTGTACACAACCTTCACGAAAGGTAAAAACAAAGCTGAAATAGAAATCACTAGAATCAGCTCTTGGGCAGTGTCAGAGAGTTTAGAGTAAGATAATTTGCAGGTTTTGCTATGGGAGAGTGAGCAGGGGTGTCCTGTGTTTCATAAATGCTTGAGTATTAAACTTTATAAGTTAGCACTTCTTGAGGATGTTTCTAGAAAGATATTATTAAAACGACTTCTAACAATATCCAGAAGGAATATAAGTATTTTTGCTCGTTTCTTAACCATACACTTGACTATAGTAGAAATTCTTATGCACAAGGGCAGGGATCTATGGCTGCACAGACCGCCCTGTGATTTAGCAGTTGACTTGACCTGTAAGAAACTATAGTTTAATGCTTTTCACAAATCTATCCTAGGTAGCATGTTGTGGAAATAGTGCTACAGTACCTGGTTGCTGATTGTTTTGGTTCAAATCAGCTCTGCCAGTTACTAGGAGATGGGATAGTGTCAAGTATTCACTCTGGAGCCAGAGTGCCTGGGTTCAAATCCCAGCTTGTCACTGCTGTGTGATTGTACTAGTTACTTAACCTCTCTGTCCTTTGGTTTTCTTATCTGTAAATTGGGAATAATAATGGAACCTACCTGTTGATCTCATGGTTGTGAAGATTAAATTAATACATGTAAAGTATTTAAGGCCTGATTCATACTAAGTGCTCAATAAATGTAGCTATAACTGTTATACTCTGTACTTCTATCATAATACCAATGACAATCAACTACCACATTGTCAGCTCTGAATATTATCATAATTATTACTAGCTTTGTGGACTTGCAAATTGCTTATCTGTATTTGTAAAGTGGAGATAAGAATGGCTGCTTTGTCTGCTCCCAGTTTATAACTAGGAACAAATAGAAAAGGGTCTGAAAGCATTTTGGTTGTTTTTTTTTTTTTAAGCCTTTTATTATGGAAAATTTTGAAAATACACAAAAGTAGAAAAAATAGTATAATGAACTTCCGTGTACTCAGCCTCACTTCAGCAGTTAATTCACGGCTGCCAGTCTTATTTCATTTCTACACATGCCTTCGTCTGTATTATCTTGAAGCCAATCTAGACATTTTATCATTTCATTCATAAATATGAAAGCATTTTTAAAAACTAAAGTTCTAGATAAATGTAAGAATTACAGAATGAAGAGAAAAATGCAGTCATAGAAATATGTTGAATTACAGTAATTATTTAAAAAATTTTTAAAGGAGATAAGTTACTATCTGGTTGGGGAATACATAGGGTTAATTGAGCAAGACTTCCTGAGGTTAGGGAGCTTTAAATTTTTATTTTTAATTTTTTTAATCCTCACCCAAGGATATGTTTTTACTCATTTTTCTTAGAGAGACAGTGAAGGAGAGAGAGAGACATCGATTGGTTGCTACCTGTATGTGTTCTGACCAGGGATTGAACAGCAGCCTAGGTATGTGCCCTGGCCAGGAGTCAAACCTACAACCTTTTGATGTATGGGACAGTGCTCCAACCAACTGAGCCACCTGGCCAGGGTGAATTTTTATTTTAAAAAGGGAATGATGCTCTGGCTGGTATGGCTCAGCAGTTAGAGTTTTGGCCCACACACCAAAGGGTCACAGGTTCAAGTCCAGTCAAGGGCATATATCTGGGTTGCAGGTTTGATCCCCAGGCACTTATGGGAGGCAGCCAATCCATGTGTCTCACAATGATGTCTTTCTCTCTCTGCCCCTTCCTCTCCTCCCTCTCCCTGTCTCCCCCTCCCTCCCTTCCACTCTCTCTAAAAATCAGTGGAAAAAATATCCTTGGATGAGGATTAAAGGGGAAACAAAAGGGAATGAGTAAGGAACCAGAAAAGGGAGACCATTCCATAGTAGATCACAGAAGGCTCACTTCGCTGGAAGAGAAGTGGTTCACTGTGGGGGGGAAAGATGAGAAAAGAGGTTTAAGTGACCTAGATGGAAGCTTTGATGTAGAGTAGTGTTGGGGAGGGACAAAGGTGTGTACTGTGGGTAGACTTGGGATAGGAAGCTGTGGTATGATTCAAACTGGGGTAACATCACACTCTGTCCTCTACTTTAATGAGGCAGGATTGCAGATGTTATGGGCTGATGCCAAAAAGGCTAGAAGAATAAAGAAGGATATGTTGAAGGACAATGTAAAGTTTCATCAACTTTCTTACCGGGAGATGGAACATTTGAGACAGGTATGGGCCAGGGGCAGATAACCAGAAGTTCATGGTAAGATAATTGAAGTTAACCAAGATCTCAAGTTTTTGTTGTTGTTGTTGTTGTTTTCTTTTCAGTTTTCATAAAGGTCTATTTCATTATTGGTGGGTAGCGTCAAGTCTTTTTCTTTTCTGTTTTGTTTCCCACTGATTAAGCTATTTGTCAGAATTGGATTCTTTCAGAGTTATAGCCCTCTGTAGCAGAACTCCATAGAATTTCGGGCACACTTCCTTAATAAAAGTTATAAACATTAAAATTCCATTTGTTTCTAAATGTATAAAAATATGCAAGGATCCAAAAGGCAGCAGGAAAGTATTACTTGGTGGTGACTCGATGAGTAGTTTTGAAGCTCAGAATAAGAATCTAGGGTTCATTTTGCAGATCAGAAAGAATTCACTGAGGAATTTGGTATAATGTCAGGCCCTGTATGAGACAATATTTGGGGTACAAAAGTAAACAAATCAGGGTTCTGTCCTCAAGGAACTTACCAACTACAGGTAGATAGAAATAACCTTGATCCTTTGCTAGGCTGTAGTAGTTTACTGCACAGTAGGGTAGAGGGATTGTCTATTGTATTAAGAATATGGGTTAAAACTGCATCTCTGTTTATTTCTGCTTAGTTCCGTAGAGACGTCACCAAATGTTTTTTCCTGGGTATTATTTCCATTCCACCCTTTGCCAACTACCTGGTCTTCTTGCTAATGTGAGTACAGACTTCCGTCTCCCCAGCATATTGAAGATATATAGATTTTTTTTAAAATTACAAATTATTTTAAGAAGAACCTTCCATTTCAGAAACTAGGCAGACATTATCAAACCTCCTGCTCTAATCTTTTCATTAGCCCAAGGTTCATAAAAGCCACTCAGTAACACCTAGTTTGCTAAAACAGCTGTAGTTGTAGGTGGTCTAGACTCTCCCTATCTTAGCTGCCCCTATGTGATGTGAAATAAGATAATGACCTTTTCACTACCCCTAGAGGCAGTAACCCAATCCCTGGCAGGCATAGCAATTTGGGACAGATTTTTTTCTTTAAGAGAGAGTGCATTTCATTTTTTAATAACATAAATCTTTATTACTTTATATCCAAAAAGTACACCTTTAAACTATGATGTTGCATCTTGTTCTAGTTATCTGTTGCTGTATAACAACCTCAAAGCTTAACAGCTTAAAACAAGCACCATTTTTATGATTTAGTGGGTCAGGAATTTGGGCAGGGCTCAGGTGGGTAATGGATATTTCTCTTACATGTGGTATTAACAGAGGTCCCTCAGTTAGTTAGCTGGTGGATGGACTAGTCTGGTTTGAGGTCATTCTTATATCTGATGCCTTAGCAGGGATGGCTGGACAACTGGGACAGTCAACCAGAGTGTCTTCATTTGGCCTCTTTAATATGGTGGTGTCAGAGTAGTGGAACTTCTCACGTGTCAGCTCAGGGCTTCAAGAGTGAGTGTGCCAGCAAATAAGAATCTCAATGGCCTTTTATAACCTAACTTTGGAGGTTACAGACCCACTTTTTTTTATTTTTTATTTTAAATATGTCTTTATTGATTTTAGAGAGAGGGAGAGGGAAAGAGATAGAAATATCAATGATGAGAGAGTCAACATTAATTGGCTGCCTCCTACACGCCCCAACTTGGGATCAATCTGGGCATGTGCCCTGAGTGGGAATCGAACCTCGATCTCCTGGATCCTAGGTCAATGCTTAACCACTGAGCCACACCGGCTGGGCTGCCTCTGTGTATCTTTAAACCTTGGTCTGAGACTCATTTGTTAAAAAAGAACAGTGTGGTAGGGAAACTGTCTCCATCTCTTCCTCCTATTCATGTCTGCCAGATGCTTTCTTCACTCACTGAAAGATGCCAGTTTCAGCAAGTGACTTTGTTATTCCTTTTCCTTTCAGGTACCTGTTTCCCAGGCAACTACTGGTCAAACATTTCTGGACCCCAAAGCAACAAATTGATTTTTTAGATATCTATCATGCTATCCGGAAGCAGTCCCACCCAGAAATCCTTTGTTATTTAGAAAAAGTTACCCCTCTTATTTCTGATACAGGACTCCAGTGGCATATGACAGAGCTGTGCACCAAGGTATTCCTCCAGTTAACCCTTGTTTCAAACTAGGAATCTTGTTAGAGCCAGTTTGCATGAAAACCAGGTAAGAGGGTTGGTCAAGACCTTGTTAATACCTACCAATCTCTCCCAAGATACAGCGTGGTACCCATCCAGCAATACATGATATCCTGACTCTGAGAGAGTGTTTCTCTAAACATCCTCTGGGCATGAACCACCTCCATGCTTTGCAAATAGTGAGTACTCTGAGGCTTTCTCTTTTCCACAGCTTCACCTTGCCTCAGGTCTTTGTTTGCAGTTGACTTTCTCCTCCTATGTTGCTGTGTCACAGAAAGCCTTGAGTCGAGCCATGCTTCTCACACCTTACCTGCCTTCTCTCTTATTGAGACACCGTTTAAAGACTCATACCACTGTGATTCACCAGCTGGACAAGGCTTTGGCAAAGCTGGGGATTAACCAGCTGACTGCTCAGGAAGTGAAATCGGTAAGAGCTTGATTGCAATATCAACCCTCAATTCTTTTTTTTTTTTTTTAATGTCTTTATTGATTTCAGAGAGAGGAAGGAGAGAGACAGAAATATCAATGAGTCATTGATCAGCTGCCTCCTGCAGGCCCCCGACTGGGGATCGAGCCCGCAACCCAGGAATATGCCCTTGACCAGGAATCAAACCTCGATCTCCTGTATCATAGGTCGATGCTCAATCACTGAGCCACACCCGCCGGAGACAATACTCAATCCTTGGTGGACTTTTGAGTTCACAGGGCTCGGAGCTTAGAGAAAGCTCATCTTGCTTGTTTCAGCAAAATCCAGGCTCTTTATTCTCTCACCTCATTTCTAGGTCTTTTTTATTTTTCCCCTCAGTGAGCTTCACTAATGGGAAGGAATTACCCACAGTCATTTTGGCTTATGTTTCTTTTCTTCCGGTCCTTCAAAAATCAAGGACATACTTTAGACCTACTATTTTAGGTTACATAGGGCTCTTTGCTTGTCATCTTAGTTCAAATTGCCATGGAGAAAGGTTTCTTGGGATGAGGTTGTAACTTATTTAAAGGAGATTTGGGGTTACTTGTGGGTCTACACTTCCTTGGCATACCCGCTCTGTGATTATTAAGGACCATTTCTCTTCTGAGTGTTACAGGCTTGTTATCTTCGTGGCTTGAATTCTACCTTTATTGCTGAAGAGAGGTGTCGAACTTGGCTGGCAGAATGGCTGAAGATTTCCTGCAGCCTGAAAGGTTAGACAAATCCCTATGGCATAACCAAAATCCAAGCCATTTCTCTATTTTATTCTGAGATGATTTTGGAGTTAATTATTGAGTGCTGTGAGACCGTTGTCTAACATATATGTCTAATTAAAAGGCACAGTCATTAGTCTACAGGGGCTAAGCAGGTTATGAAGTAGACCCTGCAGGACTTAGGAGTGAGTAGCTGGGATTGGGGGCACATGAGAGTGAGCACATACCTGGCTGAAGCAGTTTCTCAATCTCGGCACTATTGCTGCTTTATCATGAGGGCTGTCCGGTGCATTACAGGATGTGTAGCAGTATCCCTGGCCTCTACCCACTAGATGTCGTAGTACCCCCTTGCCCTAGTTCTGACAACCCAAAATGTCTCCAGACATTGCCAAATGTCCAGATGGGAGGGGAGAGCAGAGTTGTCCCAGTTGAGAAGCACTAGTCTAAAGGTATTCAAATTCAAAACAAAGCCACTTCAACTGGCTAAACAGAAAATATCTAAGGGGCTGGTGGGTCTCCTGTTTAGGACCTTTGGCTAGACCTTGATGTTTTTTAATTAAGCCTGTGAATATGAGGGAAGGCCTGCTAATCTTAAAACTGAGAAACATCTCCAGAGCACCTGCTTCTGCCAGAAGAATCCCAAGGGTGACAGTGGTGTTTAGTACCATTACTATCCCTGTTTTCTACTGCTGTCAGAGAGTCAAGAAATGAGGATGGATAGTTAGGACTATATGGTGGAAGGAAAGCATACATACAGGGACTGGAAGGAAGAACTTGAGAACAGCTTGTTAACGTCATACCTCCCTGCACTTGGTTTTTCACCTCCAGTTCAAGTCCTGTAAACCAAGGCAGTTAGAAGGCAAACTATTCTGTGGCCAAACCATTAACATTGATGGTGTTTTCAGAAGCTGAGCTGTCTCTTTTGCTACACAACGTGGTCCTGCTTTCCATCAATTACATTGGGAAACAGCGCTGAGTGAACATGGAGTGGATGGCATTGTCCTGCCGTCACAGTACAGCAGCGTGGGACCAAACAGCACTTGTCAGCAGTCTGTGTGCAGTTATGTGTGAGGCAGAGGAGCAGGTGCCACAGGCTTCAGTGTGGTACCGTGTGGGAGCTGGAACTGAAGCAAACCCTCTTACCAGAGGTGGTCCGCGGGAGGTGTCATCGCAACTTCCTTGGAATTAGCTCAAACTGGATGCAGTCCCTGTACTGGGCTGTGACTGTGACATATTAAGTTCAGATCCTGGAAAGTGAGCTTTTGCCCCAGGTGGGAATCCTCATTTGGCCTGGGACTTATCCACTGCCACCTTCTTTTGAGCTTTTTGTTAAAGCCAGTTTCTGGCTGGTGAGGGGAACAGCACTACTTAACCTAAGCACTCACATGCATGCACTTTGATGTTCCCCTCAACCCCAGGATGACCAAAAATAGGAATTTTTTTGTCCCCCTCACTGGGCTAACTAACCTTTCCTTTTCAAATCCTTTTACCACCTTTATTTTCTTTTTCTTTTTTAGTGAATAACTTATGGGAACATTCTAATGGAAAAGAAAAAAGGAAATACAAGTGCTTCTTGACCCCTTAGCCAGTGTTTACAGCCTTCACACCCTTGTCTTAATTTCTGGCCTGTGGATCTTAAACTCTTTGCTACCTCCACTGTTGCAGCCTTCCAACTGTAACTGACAGTGGCTGCCTTCGGGCCATGGATCAAACCTGTATGGTACTAATTACTGCCCAGCCAGGAGACCAGGAGAGGTCTGCATCAAGATAGTAAGTTGGGTTTAGCTTTTGTCTATATATGTACATCAGTGACCTGTAGTAACTTAACTGTAAATGCATGAAGCAGTTTTTAAACCCAAGTAAAGACTTGTCTGAAATCAGTTGCTGGAAATTAATACTTATGCACACTCTAATCATTTTGCTAAGGCTCCTTTATAAGACTCATAACCTGACTAATGGGGAGGTAATTGGTTGGAATAGAACTTTCTGATGGAAGTTATGAAGGAACTGATTTGAAGTTGATCCTCTTGCTGGATATTTGGTAACTAGGAATAGAAAATTTCACAAATATACAGAGAGAGGAAGTAATGAAATTAGAAATGGTCCCCAAGCATAGGGACTACAGACAGGGAAAAGCTCCAGCAGGGCAGGATCAAGGCCATTTCAGCTGATGAGGTGCCTAAGCGCATATGATGCAAGTCAAACTCTTGATGCTCCAAAGAGAATGTTCTATTTTTCCACCACAAACATTTCTGTTGTTAACATTAATCCCTCACTGACCTAATTAATTTTATATACAAGGCTGGAGAAGCATCTTTTTTCTAACAAGTAACTGGAGTGTGGCCTGCCAAGTTAAAAGAGTAACACACCATTCTTTTGAATATTTCTTTAATATTACATTTAAATATTCTCTTTAAATACAGCATTATCACAATGTAAAGGACCTAAAAGGCAAAAAAAAAAAAAAATTTGTTTTCAGAGAACCAGACAAGCTTTGGATTCACATTGAAAATACTACCTGTATATAGTATGTGAGAAAGGAAATTGGAAAATGAGTTGCAATAAGTCATTTCTTTTATCTAGGCCTGGACTGAGCAGGTTTGAAGCTATCTGCTTCTGTGATCAGAGGCCTAGCTTTTCTAGCAACCATGAGCTCTAATTGTGTCCAACTTGGGTAGCACCAGAAATGAGATGGACTAGGATGTAAAAAAGGCCCTTTGCTTAACAAGACAGTTAATGCTAGATGTTAACATTTAGCATTTCAAAGGTTGGGATCAGTGTGAGTCAGAATTATAAAGTTTATGAAGGGTTTAGATTAAGGAACTAGTTTTGGTTTTTTTGTTGTTTTTGTGTGTGTGTGTGTGTGTCCCCCAAAAATCATCTTGGGGGTTTGCAATGAGTTTAATAATTAGATTCAAATTCTTGGTTTGATCTCAAAGGCTACTGTGTCTCTTATTAAGCAACTGGAATCACTTCCTAGATTAGGAATCCTTCCTAAGGAGGGAATGTAAAGCTCACCTTCCCCTTCAACACAAACTTTCAGATAGATTCTTCTCCATAGGGTCCAATTCCCAATTAAGCTTCAGCCTTGTATTTGAGGGAACCATCTAAGGTAGGGGAGTGCAGCTCGGTTTGGGATAGCATCTTGACCTCAGGTACCTAGGACTCTCAAGGCTGGAGGATGGGGAGCATTAAGGACCTATATAGTTAAGAACTCTCCTCCAAACCCTGCAAAAACAAGAACAAGGGAGGCAGACTGGGTTAAAAGATATAACTGTGTTAAGTACAAGGCCTATCAGGCTCAGTTTAGCCATTTTATAGGTGAAATGCTACTGGCATACATGAAGGTTGCTTTAAGACCCCAGGACCTTAATATCCCACAAGAAAAGGCTTTTATGAGTAAGATAAATAGGAACAGTTATCTTCCCCACCAAGAAAACGTTTCACTTTGTTCTTTCCTGGCTAATAAACCATACCAGAGGTGAGGCATAGTGTAAAGGGTGCTAGAGAATGTTTTGTTCCCTGCTGTCTCCATTTTAAAACAGAGACAAAGATAACTTTGCTACTGAATTCAGTGGTGTTCAGTGGAGCACATCCAGGGACATAAGCCAGACATGAGAGAAATAGGCGCTGTATCCCAGATAGAGGTAAGAACTGAATTTGAGTCCCATTCTATAGACCTCAAAGCCAATTATCAGAACTTGAATTCTATGGAACCTGGGAGTTGTATGTAGCATTTAGGAATTGGTTTGGCCCCCAATTTTTACATATCAAGATGGAGGGAGTTTAATAAATATCCGCAATTCTTGGGGGTAAACTGGAATAGTATAAGAATTCTCAAAACCTGTATTATCCAAGAAGGACAACCAGGGTAGATACAGAAGAAAAAAAAACAATAACAAAAAACTGATGACCTTAGATTGCCATATCCTGTATCCTTTAAAGCTCAAATCTCCCAAGGGGGGAGGGGGTGCTGGGTGAAAGCAAACATGGCACAAAGTCATCTTCCAGACAGCAGCCTGTTCCTGCTGCCTCCTCTGGACACACTTAAATGCTCCATACATGCTTCCCATGATATGTGTGAGTCCAGCCTAGGGCTGCCTGACAGAGCTAGTGTTAGACACACACACAAGACATGGGCCCTTTATACCACATCCCCAGCCAATCTAGCTCTTTCTCTTCAAATGAA